TGTGTGTGTATGTTGCTGAGCTCCTGCTCTGTCTGTCTCTGCAGCTGCTGGAGGTGAAAGGTCAGCTCTTTACTCAAAGCTGCAAACTTCCACAGTCCTCCTCTCCCTGGGTTCTCCTCGCACACCGAACCCTGATCACAGGAGGACAGAGAAGTTACAGAAGGTCCACAAAATAATGGCCAACTATAAAGCAAACACTTCAGCACTGATCCATGATCAGGTGTTCAGTATGTTCATAGCTGGCCGTAGCCTAACATTCAGTAAATTAGCATGTTATCATGAGCATCAGTGTGTTTGCTCAATTAGCCTGCTATAAATAGCGTATAACCTTGCGCTTGGAAGAGGAGGGTGAAGTGACTGAGTTGCTATCTGCAACAACACTGCTAGACGCCACTAAATCCTACACACTGGTCCTTTAACCTTCCATCTAGCACCATCATCAGGACGTAGCACTGTCATTCTGAGCATGTTGCCATACAGACATTAGCATTTACCTTGTACAGCCATACAAGAGCTGCTAGCATACATAAAAATAACAAGTCACAAGGCGAGTGGCCTTGCAGGGCTAGCTGCTAGCATAGCATTCATTAGACTCAATGAGACTTCATTAGACTCTAGGAGTCTAATAAATAGTGGTTTACCATGTTATTAGGTGCACCTCTACTACCATTTCCCCACGCAGGGAGCAAATCTAATAAAGTTGCTGCACGCCGATCACTTTCATTGCTGGGCAATAACAGCGTCGTATCCAGGCTGGATTTAAAGTGGTTTTCTCTCTGAACAACACACTCAGATAAAGAATCCTCCTTTTGTTACCAGGGTGAAAGGAAATACCCTTACAACCATAATCTAAGATAAATAAACTGTGTGCTGACAATAAAAAGACAAAACAGACATAAGTTATCATCTAATGTCTAGAGGGGATTTGATATGAGAATGTACCCATATTACACTTGAGCTCTGAGTAGTCTGCTGTCTCCGTTTGTCAGACATAGCAACATGTTGGGTTAAACAGAAGAGAGTGATGAATCACCAGCTGAAGGAGGAAAGTTGGAGTAGACAGACTCATCAGACAGACAGACAGGTAGATCAGCAGATAGACACAAAGTGGTGAAGGATAGACGAGAAACCAAAAAAGGCACTTGAGGACTTAATGAGTAAAGCTAAAGTTGGAGTAGGACGTCTAATCTGGTCCTGAGTCTGAACTCTTTGTCCTTCAGCGAGCGGCTGTGGGCTGAAAGACAACAGACCGACTGAGTCATCCTGGCACAACGCAATGATCACCCCCATCCTCCCCTTCGTCTGTCGCTCTGTCTATCTGTGTCCATGTGACTCAGTCTGAAAGACAAACTGGCACTATTCACACAACAGCCAAATCTGATTTGTTTTTCAAATGTACATTTTAGTCCTCACTATCCGCACTGAAGCTTACAAGTGGCTGAATAATATTTGTCTCTTCAGACATTATAATTATTCACTTCAACAGACATAAATAAGAGATTCAAGGAGAACATGTTTGTGCTTGAAAGACATTTCTTTCACTAGTGGACGAGCAATAGAATGGTGACACTGTCAGAATATTTATCTGGCATTTCTGTTCTTCAGTTTTAGTCACTTATCAGCTGACGGGTACGTCGATACAGATATATCTACAATGAGCTTATATCGGCAGATATATCAAATGTTTAGTGATTAAGCCTTGTGAAAAATGACCCTTATTGAACAGAGATGAGGAATACAGTGGATTTAAACCGGCTTTCTGGACATGGCCTCAGGAAAGATCCACAACAAGGGTAAAGAAAGGGACAAAGAGAGACAGACAGGCAGATTCTCACCATCAAAAGTGGAGAAGAAAGTCAAGTGCATCACACAAAGAGAGTGCCAATAAAAACAAATCCCTGTATAGACTGTTAGCAGGAATGCAGTTAAGGCAGTGTTGAGCAATTAGGCCTGTACCCTCGAGCAAAGATTCATGGTTTAAAAACATCAAGTTAAAATAAAAACAACAGCGCTTCAACGCCAGCAAACACAGAATGACACTTGATGCCTCTGCACCGTTGATGATCATCTAACTGTTTCTAACTGGAGGCGTCATGTTTCAGACCCCAGTGAAGCTGCTCTGAAACACTTTCTGTCCACCTTCAGCTGTGTTTGTGGAGCTTTAACTCATTAAAGAGGAAAGTGCTGGACGATTAAAATCTGTCCAACTGGAAAACGTTACCTTTATCATTCACCATTAAATAGGAATTATCCTATTATATCGAGCACTTGCAGTATGATGCACCCCTAAATGCAGTCTCTTTCCAGCCATACTCAGCATTTGTTAAGTTGAGAATGATTTTACATTTACCTGTTGCTCCTCAGTGATGGGGGACTGTAGGATGTGAACTTTGGCTTCTATCAACTGCCGTAGTTTGTCGAGCGAAGCAGGGAAGTCCTCTCTGTTTCTCTGGAACTCTGGATGCTTTAAAGAGAGAGAGGCAGTTTTTGTTATTTTATAAACTTTCATCACAGTAACCCTCATACAGGAAATCAGCCTTATGTTTCACAACATTGCATTGGCAGCAACCAAACCCCACTGGGAGTCTACTGGCTGCTGACATAGTGAAAACTTCTTATTTATAAAAAATATGCTCAATCTCTGTTCTCTAAAGGTGCACTTTGGCTGTCGAATGTCTGAAGAACATTCTACAAATTGTTTTACCTGAGTGTCCAGATACCATCGTCATCTACAATTAGGGCAACACCCAACCTGCTAAACATCCTCCTCTGATACTTTTAGCAAACTCTTTCTTTGTTGTGGAATGGGGAGAAACAGGAATGATGGGAGAGAAATGTAGCGACTCCTGCTCCTGAATGATGAGAGAGGCCAAAATAGCCGCACACAACTGTTTGGTGGTGACATCAGCGGACGCAACAAGGCACGCTAGTTATCGTCAGGGTTTATCTGTCTAGCTCTGTGAGTGCAGTGCTGGAATAAAAGATGGGAAACATTGGAGACTGTATGATCGAAATAGCATTATTAGAATAATATGGATATTCCCTGCCTGGTAAACACAGATGTCTCTCAAACTCAACACACCCAGTTTATGTGGACGTCAGATGACACCATCAGATAAGCCCCTATGAACCATGACAGCATTAGTCGATATGAAGACAGGGTTTCTGCAGGTTCCAACAAGTTACATTTAAGACTTTTTAAGACCAAATGGAGACCATTGCAATTTAAGACCTATTTTATGTCCACAGTGATAAAACATTTATGAAGACTATGAAGGAAAATTGGTTTTGGTTCAATGTCGGTTTCATGTTGTAGTTCTTACAGCATGACTATTTTTTAAGACTTTTTCAACTGACTAATCAATGAGTCAACTAATTATTTCAGCACTGAAAAACAATACATCTAAATCTGAACTAAGCTAAAGTGTACTGTGTGATGTGATTATATGAAACAAAGAGATATTTCATCTTTTGTTTATTAAGACTAGCAGTGACTCTAACATTCCAAAATCCAACCTCTACATTTACACCTAGCTTGACAGTGCTGTTTGTCAGGTGACGTGTTCTTTTAGGGATTGCGTCCTGAAGGAGACTTTTATTTCCACCTGTCAGCGTGTCAGGTGAGTGACAGGAAGCATGGGGTCAGGTAAAAACATGATCCTCTACAATGTTGGATTGCTTTAGTCTGTGTCTGAAGCAGAATGATTGGCAGCAAGTACAAGTTCAAACACTGACTTTGTAGAAAAAAAGAACAAAAAGGTAAAGTAAAACAAAAAAAACTACAAAACCGAAATGTTCCTTCTTGTTGAAGCAGAAGTGGAGAACATCTCCAACACTGTTTAAGTTGGTTCCAGAAGTTAAACGTCAAAGTGCTCTTAGGATAACATCAGAAATGCTCTATATTGTTTTGAAGATGAGGGTGTAGGTAACCGCGATAAGTCTGCCTACTGAACAGACTCTCAGGTGGTAGAAGCTTCCCACCCACCATTGTTTGAAACCCACCACAGAGAGCCATTGTAAGACTGCGCGGAAGCAGCTCACCCGGTTGGCTCGTATGCATGTTTTCATCTTAAAGGAGGAAACCAATCTTCATACATATATAAGTACTACAGATGGACAGCAGGCAATTAATTCCCTCACTCGCCATATGAAGGATGCATTCACAACATGAGTGGGCTGGGTGTTCGTGACACAGTGAGTCTGTGTTGTCTGATTAAATGCAATCAAAACAAGCCCATTGTGTTTTAATCCCTCTGAGAAAGATTACATGCATTGACAGGAGCTTGGGGGAGAAGAGAGGAGTTTATAGTTGTTAAAACAAAAGACAAAAAAAGTCTTGATATACAGCGTTTAAGAAGCGTGTGACAATCAGTGGACCCAACAAAGTCCTTTCTTTTCAAAAAATCTCATTATAAAGTAAAATAGTGCCAGAGGAATGGGAGATGCTAGAATTCTCTCCTAGTTACTGTCCAACCCTGTCTCCTTTAAATTATGTTTTTATATTGTTAATTTGTTTTCCTAATTACATTTCTCAGCAACAAATTAGGAGTATATGAATGTAATTTCTAAGGTTGTCAGAATAACAACATTAAATTCTCAGGATTTTAAATGATAATAAAGATAAAAGATTCCTGTACCAACCCAAATCATTTCACATGAGTTTAACAAACACCATCTCCCATAAGCCCTAGACCTCTGGCGGCTTAACGTCATTGCTCGACAGAAGAGTCAAGGGGGCTGTAAAAGTTTGGAAATGGAAAATTTACTGTAGAAGAGAGCTTTAAAGGATATGAACAAAACCACATTATGATTACGTACCCACGCTGCTGGGAACTGTAGTTCTTCTGTGCTCACAAAGTAATCATTGTTGGACCTTATTAAAAATCACTAAGGTTTCGTTTCCTGTTAGCAGGTGTGGTAGTCGATGCCAATTTGTCTTAGAATGTGGAAAGAAAAGTTCCAGAGGCTAAACACAACATGGTGTCCTGACGTCAGCTAACTGTGGCTACATGTCTGTGGCTTCAATTAAACCAAGTGTAGCTAAATGTTCTGATACTGACACATTAAATAGAACAAAATTTGCAAATTAATGAGGCTTTAAGATGACAATCTTTCCAACAATCTAGCTAGCTGCTTGAGAACTAAAGCATTACAATGAGCAACTTAAGCTAACACTCTGAAGCTTTTAAATGACCACGTTTAGCTAGCTGTTCCATCACTAAGGCAATGAAAAGAACGTAGCATTGCCTTAACAATGACCAAAACATACTAAATGTCCCAATACACAATCATTAAAAAGACTAACGGTAGTTACGTGTTTTTAAATAGACCAACATATCACTTCAAGAAACTTACCATTAAAATTCTTTTGATAGGCCATTGACAAGTAACTTACTGTAGCAAGCTTAAGTAGTTAGCTTTAACGGCTTTAAGAAGACAAACTTTCTCCCACGTTCGGACGCCATTTAATAACTCCTGAGCTGTAAAATGTTTCTAAAATACTCACTGCAGGATTTGGAGAGAGAGAAGTGTTCATGATGACAGACTGACTAAAAACTAATTTCCTGACTGAGCTCAAACCACAGGGGGTTTGTGTGTGTGTGTGTGTGTGTGTGTGTGTGTGTGTGTGTGTGTGTGTGTGTGTGTTGTGTTAGTGGGTGGGCTGCACTTCTGTGTACATGGAGATGACCCTAACTACAACCTCCCACTGACCAGAATGGACAAGCAGAGAGAGAGAGAGAGAGAGGCTGGGAGAGAGAGAATGTGAGTTTCTTAGTTAATATCCTGCCAGAGTTTGTCAGGGTTTCTGTGCCTGATTGATCAGTTTACTCAACCTCTCATTTGTGTGTGTGTGTGTGTGTGTGTGTGTGTGTGTGTGTGTGTGTGTGTGTGTGTGTGTGTGGACAGACGGAGAAAAAAAAAAGTAAGCTATATATGAAATGAGCAGTCAACTTCTACACGCACGAAAGTTTCACTAAACTGGATCACAGTAAAGCCTTTGAACACCGAATAAAAATATATGTAAATATGTAGATATAAATGTGTCTCTGTTACAGACTACATTACAATTTGAGGCAGGTTTTTGAGTCTGTGTTCATCCAGGAAAAATGACAAAATGAAGTCTACTCCAAAAAGTCAATTTGCAGATGAAATCACAACTGACATCCACACAATCAGATGCATTAGAATGTAGCTACATTTGTACCTAAAATGTGGATGATAGTGAGCTCTGACATCCAGGAAAATAACAACAAAACAAAAAGGAATTTATCTTTATAAAGTTAGCTTTCTCTTGAAAAATGAATCGGCAGTATCACAGCAAATATCGACGCTGTGGATGCAACTCAACAATCAACTCTCTTTAAGTCACCAGCCCAAAAAGCTTTCCATCTGATAGGTTGTTTTCATTCAGGCCACGTGGCTTCTACCATAAGAGGCACTAGGAGGAGCCAGAGGAACCTGATTCTCTCACAGATTATCTGTCTCCTATACTACTGTCAGGATGTAATGAAAGTTCCAGCAAATATGACAAAAAGTTATTTTCATAAAAATTACCTACAGCAGCTTTAAATCAATAACTGTCTACATCATCATGAACTAATTATCTAATATTAAGGCTTTGAAAAGAACATCTTTGGCTAATACTGCCCTAGTACAAAATACGAAACTCAATATAAACAAACTAACACAAAGACTAACAGTAAGAGAACAACGTTGTCAAGTTCAGTCAAGTCAGGATGATGAAAAAAGAAACCATGACTACACCTGAGGTTGGGTTGGACCACAGGGTTCCAGTTGCCCCCCCCCACTCAAGTTAGATGAGTCGTAATTCCAAACCCAGGGTGTGTCTGGGTGGGGCCTGATGACTGTGGTCGCTCGCCAAGTCAGACACACCTTGATAAGCAGGAAGGTGTGAGGAGGGCATGTCTGCAGCTCGCTCTACCTTTTTGTTGACTTTGCTTTTTTCAGGCCCTGTTTCTGTCTATCACACACACACACACACACACACACACACACACACACACACACACACAGAAAATATTTTATGTAACACGATTAACAGTCAGGTGGTTACAAAAAACAACTGAAACTGAAAATTGACTAAAAAAGAGATTATTTTGTTGAAAACTACTTAGAGCTCAATTATTTACTTTACGGGCAAAACATCCTGGTCATATTACAGCCTAAAAATGTTGTTCAGGCTAATATGCTACCAAGCAGCTGCCTATTTCCACATCCAGCAAACACAAAGGTTCACTCTGGTTCATTAACTGCTAGATCTTCCACTATAAACTTGCTGTAAAATCAAAACTATGAGCTAAAAGAGGCTAAAACGCTCAGTAGATCTGCAGAGTTTGTGAGAGTTCTCCGTGGTTTTGTTACTATAAGTGACCCCTTTTACATTACACTCATTTGACCAATTTTTTTTTCATCTGAAAATATAAACCATTGCAGCTTTAAGTA